AGGGACGTGAGGCAAACCTTCCTCAGATTGATGTCAGAGATGGATAAATGACCTCAAGAAGCACCTCACTGAAGCCACTATTTTATCTAGGACTGTAACAATTACTCGGATTAATCCTGATTAATCAATTATTTAAATAATAGTCAACTAATTTATTCATCGATTAATCATTAACTGGAGTATAGAGGCTGTAAAACATGTCTTCAGCTGACAGAGCAACCGACTCAGAGCAGTAATTATACCAAAATTGTAAAACTATATAGAAATATTTTGCATTTAAGATAAAAAAAAACTTTTTCATCCGTCAAAATGCTCAATCCAGAACTCCTGAAGTAGAAATGTTCTAGTTTCACCTGGTTTAAATCTGTAAAAAGTCTTCTTTACCTTTTGCTATCCAATTATTAATCAATTAATCAAAAAAATAATCGTCCGATTAATTGATGACCAAAATAATCATTAGTTGCAGCACTTATTTTATCCAAAGGAGATATGATCAGCTATTAGAGGGCAGTGTGTCAGTTTTACTCATTGGTTATACTTTTTTTTTTTTACACAGTGTTACATTTAATACAATAAAACTGAGCTTTTTTCATAAGAAAACTCATATTTATCTGAGATAACTTTTTTTCTCATAACTGTATAAATATTTGAAGCAAAACTGCAAGTCTTAATCCCCATTGAGCCACAGTAGAAAAACTAAAGGATTAGCACAAGAATAAACAACACATGTAGCCCAAATGGCTAGGGTTTATTCAGGACTTCCTCTGATTTATTCATTCAACAGCCATTAGATCAACTTCAGTCTCGTTGGAAAAGTTTAATGACAGGAAAATATTCAGTGTAGCTCCCTGATAAGGGGGGCTTTTAGGGACGTGCACTTTAAGGTCTCAGAAGTATATGTGTGATCTTCTCTGTCTGTCCCTACTTGCAGTGGAGTAACACTACGGCTATTTGAAGCGTGAAAAGAAAAGCCTTGAAGCTGAGGTTGTTGCTCATGCAGAAGGACATGATTGAGGGAGGGGAAGGTGGAGGTATAATGGAGAGGAAAAAAGCTGAAAGATGAAAAGATTTCATGGAAGTTAGGATCAATAGGTAGAAAATGATGTGTTTTTGTTCTTTTATGTTGGAAATATAAGCAAACAGCTCTATCTCTATTATCTATTAATGTTTTATAGTACGAGTTTGGACTGTTTAGCTGTTAAGCCGTATTTAATGTTCTATCTACCCTGTTGAAATGCTTTTTTGTGTGTGTTCTACATCTAATTCATAGTAAACATGCAGTTATCAAATATGTGGGGATATATACAATTCACTCAATGGGAGAAGAATCCAATGGAAGGTACATTTTACTGCAGGGAGATGAAAACTAATTTTTAGCATTCAGTCTTTCAGCATGCCTCATCTTGTCTTACTTATATGTTCCACTCTATCTTAAAAGAGCTCTTCAAATCCAGGTTGTGAGAACATCCTTTGATGAATGTAATTGTATGTGGATCTCTGTGAAAGTGTGTTTCATTCTCCTGACAGATTCCTTTCACAACCAAATCACTCTGACCTCTCTGTATATTATAGGCTTAATTGAAAAATGTCCCATAAGGAATCTCAGGTTGGTCAAACTCACTAGAATTTAAGGAATTGAATTCAAGGAAACTGAACACTCACAAAAACATTTTATCCAAATTCTATTATTTATGTAATTACATTAAAAATTCCCTTTTTTTCTTAGATCGTTTTAACCCAAACATATTGAATAAACCTGACATGATGTATATCATTTAGTTTAATGTAGCTTATTTATTTAATGATTTATGATGAATGAGCATGAAGCTCATTAAGTAAATCCTTTACATTGCAAAACAAAATAGATTCTTTGAGTCCCAAAGCCTTGGTTGTGACCCACACTTGGGTTCATTGATCAACCAGTATGGGATCCACAGCATAAATGATGCACAAACACTGAAAACTTATGTTAAAGTGTTTCTAGATTTAAAAGCATGATTTAAAATTGAGGGCTGCTCCGTGGAGCGGTGGGTAGCAATGCTACCTTGCAGCAAGAAGGTTCCGGGTTTGATTCCCAGCCTGGGGTTTTTCTGTATGGAGTTTGCATGTTCTCCCTGAGCATACGTGGGTTCTCTCTGGGTACTCTGGCTTCCTCCCACAGTCCAAAAACATGACTGTTAGGTTAATTGGATTCTCTAAAATTCTCCTTAGGTGTGAATGGTTGTTTGTCTCTGTGTTGCCCTGTGATTGACTGGCGATCTGTCCAGGGTGTACCTCACCTCTTGCCCATTGACAGAGAGGAATGGAGGGGCGCCAGCATCCCTTGCGACCCCACTTGGGATTATGCGTGTTCAGAGATGGATGCTTAGATGGAGCATGAAGCGACAGTGGAGAGGAAAAACTCCCCTTTGGGAAGAACCTATGGCAGAACGAGGCTCAACATGGTGGTCTTCTGTCGGACCGGTTGAGATAAGACAGGGAACTCAGTAAGAGTCTGGGAGGAATTACACTCTGATGGGGACGAGGTTGAAGAAGCACCATGGAAAATCCAGATGGAGCTAAGCTAAGATGGTGGAGAAGGGGATGGAGGTGAGCTACTGTAAGTCAAAATCTGACATTAGAAACTACTGCTTCTGCTTAGGCTGAGTTGAGGATTTGAAGACCTTTTAAGATGAACTCCGGATGCTGATTGGGCTTCGTGGAGGTGTGGTTCAAAGCGGATTGGCTCACGAGGCAGATTAGGGTAGGTAATTTAGATTCTTCTGCCTAAGCTTCATAATAATCAGGTTTCCTTCATGCAATTCAAACAATAAACTTTATGTATTTGAAATTAAAACACTCATCAGTATTCATTTTGAGTAGTAAACTTTATTAACACAAAAAAAAAATAAACTGGATGATTATGTATTTCAAATAACTGTTTTATTAAACAAATGAATGTGAATCATTCAAGGTTTATATATTAAGTTTGAGTTACATTTTGTTTTTAAAGAAAATAAACTGGATTTTGTTATGTAATAAGTGTACATAAATCTTAAAAAATGTTGTGAGTGAACACTGACTCTGAATCCAATGTGCTTTAACAATGTGTTGATATAGAACTTATATTTTCTAGATTCGTTTTCCTGAAAAAAAAGTTTTCCTAGTTTAATCGTACGCCATAAATGATGCATTTTGGCTGGGTTGTCAGCTCTTCTTTAGGCACCATGGCAATAATGATAATTGCAGTATTATCTTTAATAAAATATACCTGTGAAATTTTTTATTTTGAACGATGCCTAAAAAAGCAAAATTGCATTCAATTCCTGTATCTAAATTAGGAAAAATTAATAAAAGTTATTGCATTCCATAAACACCTATTTTGTGTTTTTATATAGTATCTATAACCTTTTGTATATCACATATATTCCCCTATGTATTATTTGCAAATGTCCTTGTAATGAACACAATCCATTTCCTCTGCAATCATAACTCATGGCCATGACTGATGTCTACCTTTTTTTCAACATCTCAAATAAACTTTCTATTTTTGTCATTCCTAACTTATACATAAAGGTTATTGTGTTTTTTTACAACGATATACCACATCTTTAAGCAGGTTTTGCTGGATTTACAGATGAGTAACTGCTCACACATGCTCAGAAAACAGGCCAAAACTGAGGGGGTAATTGTTTCCAAGCTGCTCTTTGATGGCTGAGTCAGTGAACATATCCTCTATCATATCATGATAAGAAGAACATCGATTTAAAGGGAGCAGCTGTTTTCCTTTCATCTTCTCCCCCCCTCTTCTTCTTTCTGCATCTTTCCATCCACCCACTGCTTTCACGATGCTGCACTAAGCCAGGGAAGATAGGGCAAATCCCTCCTCTGAGCAGAGGCACCAAAGACAGAGAAAGCAAAGAGACAGAGGAGGAGGAAGAGAGCTGTGAGAGGACACACTTCTCAAATCTGTCCTTTCTCCCCCTTCATTTATCTTAGTCCAGCCAACCGACTTACTGTTGCCAAATGCATGCTGTTGTTTGTGCAGTTATGTGGTGGCCCTTCCACCAACCTGTAATGATGTTATGAAAACTCTGATTCATACATTTCTTACTCCTTTCTGAACTTTCTCGGATAAGCATAAATTACCTTCTCTATGTTTTGCCTTTAGCACAACAACTAAACTAAGCTGTGCCAAGCCAAGGACACACTTTATATAATTATACAGTTAGTGTCTTAACTCAAAGGTAGGCATTTTTGTGGCAATTCAGTCAATATTATTTGTTTGTGGTTTTAATCATTAAAAACATAATATCTATGTAAAAAAATGATAACCATAATCAACACTGTCGTTATTTTCAAGACTTTTAAGGCATCAATAACTGAGCATGTTTTATCTGCAACATAAATATCAAGAAATCCTATATGTCAGACACACTGCGAGTTGGATTGAATGAATAAATCGTGCTTTGTCTCCCTCTAGTGGATTCTTTAGGTTGTACATCACTAGACCCTTTTTATCTCCAGTGTGAAAACAGGTGCACTGCTACGTTGAAGGATGATGCTGCATTCAGGGAAAAAATGAAAACAACATTCCCTTGTCCGCTGGGTAATGCCGTAAACTAATATTAGAATGTGGTGAGTTTTGAAGTAAAGCTATAATTTAAATGCTCCTTTTTTCAATTAACACTCGGCGATATATCGTTAATTACAGAAAAATACTTTATTTCTGTTCCTATTTGCTAATATTTTAACAAGCATTTTTTATTTATTTATTGGGCAAACCTACTTCTAAAAAGTCTACAAAGTTTAGTAAAAAAAAAAAAACGAAAAAAGGAAAATGCAGCCCTTTGATGTTCTTTCTTGTTTGTTTATTCAAGTAAAATAAATTGTGTTCGTTGGAGTTTTAAAATTTGTAAAAATGTTTGTGTAGACTTGAGCGTTACTCTAAATTCCCAGTTTAATTATTACTCACTAAGGTTCTACGGATTGTAAGTGAACGCAGCACGGGATGGTGCTTGCGCTCTGCTGACGAGCCGTTGGTTGTGGAAACAGCTGGTTGTTTCAGTCAGCGAACTCCGCTCGGGATTGAAAGCGATTTAGTGCAAACGAAAGTTAAAATTAGAATTGAAGCTGAATGAAATCAGTCCGGGTTGGGTCCCCGCACCTGTTCCGACTGAAACCTGGAGATGTCATCCTGTTCGAACTACTCTAAATCCGGCAGTTAGAGTGAATTAACTACCTAGCTTTTTAGCGGCGCAGACCACCAAACTGCTGCTGCTAACGGCGGCTAACCCCTCTCCTCCCCTTTAACTGCCACCAGTGCAGTTTTTTTTTTTGCCAAATGAGAAGCGCTGCCAGCTGCTGAGCTTCTTAACAATCAAAAAAAAAAGTCAGGTTTGGTTTGTTTTCAACATGGCTCATATTCATTATAAGTTTTCGTCCAAACTGAGCTACGACACGGTGGTTTTTGACGGACCGAACATCTCGCTGACTGACTTGAAGAAGCAGATCATGGGCAGGGAGAAGCTCCGAGCCGGGGACTGCGACCTGCAAATTATAAACGCACAGACCAAAGAAGGTAATAAAAAAAAGCACAACATTATAAGTTTGATATGTTTTATTTGTTGCATTTTCCTAACAGTTAAAGTTTGAAAGAAAGCACGTGGGTCAGCATTGACGGCTGCTTTCCAGTCACCCCTGTTTTTTTCAGGTTGACTGGGGGGACAAAAGGGATGTAATGAATGGACAAACATTCCTGCTGCTTTCACGCCTCGTGTCGCATAATTAAACCTCCTGACATGGGTGAATCGGTGGTGTCAGCTCTGCCATCCTGCAGGAGGTGTTGGTTTTAAACACTATGCATGACCTAAGGGCTTAATTTCAGCCCCAGACATATAAGTCACCATGCAGACATAAAGGGGAGAGGTAAAAGGTTCAGAGTAAACCTGCTTAGTCTTTGTCAGCAGTCTGCAAATGAGTTTAGAAATCCATCATAAGCTATTTAAAGACTTTTCCTCTGAAAACACCCCAGCACAGGGGAGATACACCCTTTGACTGGAGATGCAGGGATTAAAATGAAATAACTGCATACAAAAGTGTCTACAATGACTTGAAGAAGGTAACCACATCTATTTTCTTTCTTTAATAAGTGCAATTAATTGTGAGAGGTGAGATTACTACATGGCAAGGATTTCTTGAACACATATGAGAGACATTTGCATTGTGTTAAAAAGCTGTAAAACTTTGTTTGTCTATTAGATTCAGTTTGTGGCTGCAAGTTGGCAAAATGTGGAAAGGTTCAAGGTGCATGATTACTTTTCAAAAGGCATGCACTGCAAGGTGTCCTAAGCAGCTGTTTTGGTTTGTTAGTGTTTTTTAATTTCATAGCATTTTCCTAGGTGACAAAACTGCTGATTTGTTAAGAGGGAAATCACTTTAAACGAAAATATTCCTACTCTTTCAATCTGGAAAGAAAATCGAAATAAAAAGGCAAATATTTTGGCTTCCCTTACACCTTTTTTATTGTTCTACATGTCAATAAAGGTAAATTCCTGGTTTGAACCATGTCCCTCGTAGAAATTCCCGTTTGTCTGACGGTTAAGGCATATTTTATGGTTTTATCCATCATATTTCTCCTTTTTTTTTTTTTATCTAAATACTTTTACAGTGAGAATTCTTTGGCCCAATATTCATTTTAATAACTGTTTTCTATTTTAATGAATGCTCATTCTAGTAGGAATGAAATTTACCCCAAATGTCTCTATTCTAGATAACCACCATCACATCTATTGTTTTAATGATATACATACCTTTAAAAGATGATTGCAATATATGGATTTTTAAATTGGTAGAAAATAAAGAAAAAAAAACAGGATTCAAGAAGCTATCCCTGATCCTGCACAGGATGAGCCATAAGCCCCGCCCCATGAGAAACCCTGCTTCTTTCTGACATGCGAAGAAGGGCTAAACACTCCTCAAGCTCATGCATAATTTTCCAAAACATTTTTATAGTTAAAGTAATGCAAATCCTGACCCATAACATTAGGAATATGGAGATCTGAAATTAACTGCTAGACATTCAGAATGTTTATTCTAAATTTGGAGAATGTAAATTCGTTTGAAATGGTAATTTAGACTAAGAAAAACATTTTTTTTTTTTTTTCAGATATCAGGAATACATATTCATTAAAACTAGTACATAACATATCAAAACGGCTTGCCTTAGCTTGTTGTGACAGTGATAATATTATGGGATCATTGGTAGTAGATCAATGTATCTATTTGGGTGAAATCTTCTGGCAGCAGGTGAAAATGAAGTCTAAAAACGTTCTAATATATATATATATATAGAACCTGTCCATCATCTCATTCGTCCTGCCTCATGTTGATTGTCTTTTTTTCCACATTAAATCAGTGGCTGTTTGCAGCCACGCTTCGGATTTTATCATCCCAATAAATGGTGGTTAATAGCGGCCATTAGTCCCATAGAATGCCCTCAGATTGTGCCAGTAGAATCATTAGGTTGTTATCATTTAGTAAATCCTAATCCTAACCCTAAAGTAATTCCTCTTACCCCGTGGAAATAATGAGTATTTACGTTAATCTGAAAATAATTTGAGTAGTTCATGTACTGTAAATATAACATAATAAAAATAAAATGATTCACATCTTGCTAATATCAAACAAACCAAAAACGAATAAATCTCATGCCCTGTCAATTAAGTTGTAGAATCCTCTCCTTATAAATATTTCATTCTCTGTGAAAAAGTGCCGATCATTCTTTAATAAGATCCTCGTCAGAAGGACATGAAATGTTTGTTTTTAAAACCTATGTGTGCAAAGGACTTAGTAAATAATTTTTTTGTTTGTTTTTTTTTATGCACAAAACTACGACAAAAATCCTACTAAATCAGGAAATAAAACAATGTATAGGCCAGCGGTCACCAACCTTTTTACAGTTGAGGGCTAATTCAGGGGCACTGAGTCACAGGAAGGGCTACCAATGCTGACCTATGAATTGCAAGGGTCAACGTTCACCTAAACTTCATACATCATAAACATATCTTTATCGTTTTTTTAAATTTATAATTTTCTTTCAGATCTTTTATTTTGAAATCTCTATAAATGCTTAAATGCCATATGATTAAATGATATGTTCTATAACCCTATAGCCTTTAAAAAAAGAAGAGCAACAGAATACAATGAAATTCCAAACGTAGCTGAGTTGTTCTATTTTCAGAAGACTCTAAGGGTACCCCTTGTGGTCCTTGAGGGCCCCATGTTGGTGACCCCTGGTATAGGCTGTAAGGAGAGTGGAGACAGAGGACACAGTTTACTGAAGAAAACCTGCTGACCAGGTTAGCTCTGGGGAGAATGTTACCACGGAAACTGACACAGAGGTTGAGGAAACTCTATTTGTGAAATAGGAAAGTCAAGCGTTTCCGTATTCAGGTTTAGAAAACTTAGGAGTTTTCGTTAAACCTGCTTTGTGAAACGGACCCCAGGAGTATCCTTCGTCAACTAAGACTTCCCATGATTCTGTAGCTCGGGCAGCGGTGGAATATGTGAGTAACATGTTAAATCCCATGCTTTCTAGGACGTTTTTGAGGTTGGTTAGTTAAACTCAATTATCTATTGTCTTTATTAACCCTCCTAATTGAAAGGGTTTTGTATTTCTCAGCACTAGCTTGCCTTGGCAGCTTTCAGCCATCCAGGTGGTCTTGCCTTCCTCTCCTGGGAAAGCACCTGAGTCCCGGCTGAGGGCATTGAACCTGCTGCTTGGTTAATCCCGTTAAAGACATAACTCATTTTTTTTTTTTTCCAAAGATATTTTTATTAGAATTTTCTGTTAGACATACAAAACAAACATACACACACGCTGAAACATGAAAAATAAAGCAAAATAGACTAAAAACAAAACAGAGCAAGGTGAATTCCCTCCCCCCACCCCCCACCCAAAAAGAACACTAAACCCCAGGGCTCACTCTATCTACACACTCAAAAAACGAGGAAAAAATAGCTTTACATGTCACAGTATTTTATAAGATGTAGGAAGGGAAACCAAATATCCTTAAAGTCTTCAAGCTTTCCTTTTGTTATATATGTCAGCTTTTCCATTGCCAGGTTGTTGGTCAATAGTTTAATCCATTCATTTATCTTTGGTCTTTCTGTGTTCTTCCACTTCAGAGCAATCAAATGTTTAGCCTGCAAAAGGCAAAAACTCAAAAGCTTCCCTCTCTTCATAAGTCCTTTAAGTCCATCTGGAAAAATGTGCAATAAGCAAAGTTTACTGTCCATTGGAACATCCTGTTCGATCAAACGGGAGATGAACATGGTAACCTCCTTCCAGAAAGTTTGAATCTCTATACATTGCCACATACAATGGAAAAGAGTGCCCTTATCTATATTACATTTAACACAGATATCAGGAATATTTCAATTAAAATGGTGAAGTTTTACAGGAGTGATATACGTTCTAAATAACCATTTGTATTGTAATAATCTATACCTTGTGTTAATAGTTTGCGTTTGCGCCAATAGACATGAGTTATTCCAATCATCCTCAGGGATTTCAGTTCGCAGATCAGCTTTCCAAGCTTGTAAATATGCAAGACTATTTTCTTTTGAAGCCAAAAGTAAAATATTATAAAATTTGGAAAGTAGGCCTCTACTCTGATTATGGTGAAAGGCTATATTCTCTATGGTTGTGAGTGGAGGTTCAGACGTAGATTTCAGTGAGGCGAAGACAAAACTTCTAATCTGTAAATACTTAAAAAAATGCTTTTGGGGCAGACTATACTTATTTACCAGTTGTTCAAAAGTCATCAAAACTCCTTCACTATAAAGGTCCCCTATTTTATTTAAGCCTCTATTCATCCATATTTTAAACCCCCTGTCTGCTCTTCCTGGTTTGAAATTATTGTTTCCCCAAATAGGTGACAGATATGAGATTTTGGACACCTCATCTAAATCCTTATGGGAGTGGTGCCAAACTGATATGGTGTTTTTGAGAAAAGGATTTTTGGTGTTTTTTAATAAATATTTAAGTTCCGCTGAGTAAAGATAGGATGACAAAGGTAATGTTACAGAGTTGTTTTCTATTTGTACCCAACAAGGTATGTCACCGGTTGAAAAATAACAGGAAGCAGCACAGAGTTGTGCAGCACGATAGTACAATTTAATGTTTGGCACTCTAAGCCCACCTCGATCATAGGGCAAATAAAGAAGAGAGAGTCGCAATCTGGAGCGCTTATTGTTCCATATAAATTTGTTAAAAGCTTTATCCATAGAAGAAAAGAAAGAAGCTGGAATGTGTAAAGGAATGGACTGGAAAAGGTATAAGAACTTTGGAAGACTGGACATTTTAATAATATTAATACGCCCTATCATTGAGACTGGCATTTCGTTCCATCTTTCTAGGGAATCTAATATTTTCTGCACTAAAGGATCATAATTTATAGAAACCATTTTCTCTAAATCTCTGTCAATCTTAATTCCTAGGTAAGTAAAGCCCTCTTCGGTACATGCAAATTGTGTTTGTATTGGAGGGTTATTTCTGTTCAGCATTAATAAGGAGCT